TTGTTCTGGTAAAGTAGCGTCAGCCTACTTCTGCGGCTAAGAAGCGTTTACCTAAGCGGTCACAGTAATGAGGGCAGGAAGCAGTTTGAAATAGAACATAACCACCCAACAGCAAAGCCGAACGAAGCTTTCCCTGCGGGCATGAGACTGGCAGCCTCTTGTGTGACCGTATGGAGAATCCAGCTGTCGTCCCCAGAAAGGAGATCCGTGAGAGTTCCCTTTCGTGAAGGAGGTGTAGCACGATGTGCATACACTAATCATTGTCCAGTCACGCATTTGCGATGCCTGCCTCAAGACTACCGCCTCGTACTCCAAACTGCTATGACGGTGTGCGAAGATCTCCCGGCTGCGCCACATATCGTCGACAACTCGCGAGTACAAGTATTTGGCTTCGCTTCTCAGGCATTGCGCAGAGTTTTCTTTTACATGACAGTCGTGCGTTCAGAAGGAGCATCACTTTTGAGGAAATTTTTTTCAAAGGAAGCGTTGAATCAATGTACTCTGGGTGATTATGGTGCATTCTGTGAGCGCAGCAGGGATTTTAAAGACACGACTGTTGACATTCGTCTTTAGTAGCAGGTTCTGAAAATAGTGGCTCAGATTCCCCTAGTCAACTAAGTTTATTGTTGGTTTACAGGTGCACACGCAATGCGGCCTCATCTTCCTAAAAAGATCGGCATTACACAGAAATAAGAATAAATGGAATAGCCTTCCTTGTTCAAGTTCATGCAAGCGCAAGCTTTTGCACAGGCTCAGTGGTGCAGAGGGAAGCAGTGTAGATACAGATAACATCCGGAATGACAGCTCAGTTCTGCAGTTAGAATAAGAAAAGAACGACTAGCCACCCATTCGAATCGAAGTTACGACGAAGTGGTGCCATCTTGGCCACTCCTTCCTGCCTACGTGAGGAAATGAAAGAAAACAATAAGGAATAGACGCAAGGGATGCTATTTCCGATGCAGTTGCAACAAATATATTACATACATTCCATTTTGAGTTCTATCCCTTTCTTTTGGAAGCTTGAGAAAAAAACCCTGCCTCATTTTCTTTGCTTGCTTCCTCTGTTCTTCACTGATTTGACCTGCATTTGATCCGAAGACCACCGCTCCATATATCTTTTAATGCGCAAGTTCGGTTTTTCGTGAAAATTTTTCCCGGTAGACCAGAAATTTTTTGAGACTCTTTTTGAGTGAGCGGTTATTGCAACAATATACAAACGCTTGTAGGCATGCGGCAAGTGCACGACAAATCCTACTACATGGGGCTTCTTCGATCAAAAATTAATCAGATCAGCCTGGAAATTGCACGACTAGAAGAAGTTTATCAGAAAGGTCAACGTGATCGTATGGAATTGGACGCCTATGAGCAGAGGTAATTCTTCCCTTCTTCTTCTTCTCCCTAGCGTTAGTCCCGCGCAGTCGCAGGGTCCGCTGTCTTTGTCAGTCGTCGCCACTTCGCTCTGTCCAGGGCATCTTCTGCTGTGGCCGTGACTTCACTTAGGTCCTTCTTGATACGTCCTTCCACCTCTTCTTTGGGGCTCCTCGCGGTCGCTTGCCTTGCGCTTCGAAGTCCATCGCTTTCCTTATCGGGTGGTCCTGTGGCCTCCTTAGCACGTGCCCATACCATCGCAGACGCTGTTCCCGTACCTTCAGCTGGACAGGGGCAGTCTGCATGACCGCTCTGACATCCTCGTTTCTGACCCTGTCCAGTCGCGTCCAGCCGCAGGCCCATCTCAGCATCCTCATCTCAGCGGAGTGAAGCTGCCTTTCGTGATTCTTGTTCAGGGCCAGCACTCGCTGCCGTAGAGCATCGCAGGCCTTACCCTTAGAGGTAATTCTACTCTACTAGTAATAAGTTAGTATCATGCACCGTTCTATGTATATACTGACTAGTCGCAGCCATGGATGGACACAATGGAGGCGAACTACTCCGATGTTGAGGTTGTCTGAGCTTTAAAAAGAATGGGAACACAGAACATCACCCCATATAGAAACCCGTTGACGTCTTGTAAGGGATAACCATAGCTTGAAGCCTTTGCTAGCGTGTCTTTCAGGTCTTAAATGTGCGCCATCTCGCACCATCACATCCCTGACGTGGGTATGAGTTTCCATAGAACAGTACAGGAAATCGGTTGTTGCGTGACAAATATGCCACTATAGCTTCGCCACACATCAACCCTGACCTACTGCTGCCAAATTTTCCGACCAATTTTGCCCGCATAACAACTCGATATAGAGCCACAAGGGGCGTAAAAAATAAAGCTCCACTAGGTTTTACTTAAATGGGCACAAGATCGAATGCCAGACTTTTTGGAGCGATTCATTTTTGCCGCTGCTCTCGAAACGTCAGAAATATTTTACAGAGCTAAGGAAAGCGCAATGGAAGTGAAGGAGCTGCAACGCAAACTTCTCAACTATAATTTGGTAAGCCCGTGCGCTGAATCAATTCGCTACTCTTCTGCGCACACCTGGAAACAGACAATTTTGTGTATTTGTAGTTGGTCGATCGAATGCACAGCAACCACGAAGTGGGCGATCTTGAAGCCGAAGCCAGGAGGGCGAAAGAAGGGGCTGATGAAGTCAGTTGAATTTTCTTGTTATTCACTGCAAACTCGTTGGATATAGTTTTCTTCACTCAGAGCCACGAGTCTGGATTAGGTTCCAAGAGCCAGTCCCTTCTAGAGTGACAGAGAGGGGTCCCCAAGGGCAGGAGGCACGACACTGTCGCGACTCAAAAGTGCGAGCAACGGCGCTAAGGCCTTGCTTGTGTGCTGCCGTGCTCCTTATCAACCACGGCATACGTGGTCTCTGCGCCCTCTCGCGTACGACGTACTATCTCGCGTTTCCCTCTCCTCGCAGCGCTGTGTCTCTCCGTCATACCACGGCCGGCCTCATAAGGGAAATTTAGTGCTCTCTATGGTGCTTTTTGCTTCCACTATTGCTTTACATTGCCTAAATTTTCAACAAAATATCGCATAAATCCAAGCCGACTCGTGCATTTAATGTCCTCTTTTAGGTTGTGCTGTAATGAAGCCTTTCCATCCTGATCTTCATGTCATGCTTCAAAAGTTTAATGGCCAAATACTTAAGAGACCACCCAAAATCTATTGACTTTTTCAATATGGAACCTTTTGAGGCCCACAGCCTTCTTGAATATTGCATATCTTAACGGGTACTTGTTCATAAGTGCTGCATGTTCTTTGACGAATCGTTCTTTTCTGTTTTATTCTTGGACATAAACGAATTTCAGCTGGAGGCGACTGTCCAGGAACTTTTCCACGAGCGTCAAGCTCGGGAACATGAGATTGAAGAACTTGGAGCAGAGATTGAAGAACAGAAGCGACTAAATCAGGCAATGCTGTCTGGCATGGTATGTTTGAACATACAGTTCTTATTTCTAAGTAACTTTCACGGCAGCCGAGACGCCCACGCGCTCAAGCCTCCGAGCTATTGACCATACACCACAGTTTTCATGATCACCGCAACCTTCGACCAAGGTCTGGTTTTCGCGAATTTTTTCGGTGCAGACAACATGACGATTATGGTAGGGTGAACAGATATGCTTTTTCTGCTACCTTTTCTGTTTGCTGATGAATGCGAGGTAACAATCCAGCAAATTGAGTGTAGGATTTGTCCTTTATCTGACTGGATTATGGCTGCTAAAGATTGAAAAACATAAAAATAGTAAAATTACTGAGTGGAATGTAAATGGGCAGCATACATACGAGATTGAATCTAGGAATAAAGTAACGCTTTATTATCCACCTCGGTCAAATTCAATTCTATAATACATCAACCAGGGTCAACCGTCGCCTTTGGAAGACTTCAAAAATTTTTGCGACTCGCACCCCTTCCTAGGGGTTTCGCTGCGACCCCTTTATAGTAGTTATGTGTTTAAATTGTTTGTTCCCATACAGAAATCATAAGCACTCATTTCTCTTGTCGCGACTGTTTTGACACTCTCTCGTTTGACAGCGTACCAGCTCGCACCTGTGCGGTGAGAGAGAGAGAGCTGTGAAGAAAACGCCTTTGAAACGGACATAGTTTTCTCCGGAACTGACATTTTACGAAACCAGTTGCATTTTTAGCAGTATTCTCCGCCTTTCTTGAAACCGGGCATTTGCTGCGCTGGGGTTTGGCTACTGTGTCAGATAGGTCCGCATTTAGCTTAGTGTCACCACTTCTAATGTGCCGCGGAGTGGAAATAAAAAAGAAATAACAATGGAGTACTCAACTCTACTCCAACAGCGCCGATACTCGCTCAGCCTACCTGAATGACTTGGAGTCATGGTACTCAGTAGAATAAATGACGAACCGGTCGTGCACTACTTATGCGGATTCATGTTAGGCGGATAGGTAGCATTGTGATTGTTTCGAAACGCTTTCAGGCCTTTGACAACGACGAATTTGTCGAAACGTTAGGCTGAATAAAATATTCCACCATGCAAACCCTGTTTGGCACAGTAGCAGCAACCAACTTTCAGCAGTTTCGGCCTCTGAGTTCTACTTTTTGGAACATCCATGTTTTCCCCAAAGTTCCCACAGTTCCTCGGCTATTAAGTGGTAGGTGGGGATTATGAAGAAGTTCCTCACCTTATCAACACCGACTTATTAGCCTCATGCACCTCAAGTCCAAAATGAATGTGGACGGGCTGAGAATTTAAGAAATCGGACACTTTCATTGCTCGAAGAAGGTCATTCCATACATCGGCCCACCTCCCGCGTTATAAATGTGGAGATGGGACATCGCTTTGGAGTGATTTTCTATGAATAATGAAGATGACCTATTTCTTCAATTCTCAGTCCGTCCACGTTCATTTTGGTTTTAAGGAGTATGAGGCTGCCAATTTGGTTTTGATACGGTGAAACCTGTGGCAACACAAAAATGGGACCCACTCAGGAATTCCAAAGCACTCCCACAATGTGTTTCACTTGGTATCGTTCTACATATTCATCTTCCAAATGCACCTGGAACTTTTCACCGGTCGTCCCGTTGTTCATTGGGTTTCTTTGATCGGACTCTAGCAACATCTCCATGTCCTGTTGCATCCAAGAGCGTCCTTCTCGCCCAATGTACTCTGAGCTCGTTTTCCTTTCAAAATTTCCGTGAAGAAATCTGACCATCGAGCTCTGGTGTTCGCTTGAAGTTCCAATAGATCCAGTCGGGTTAGGCCCACTTGGTATTCAATTTTTTAACGGCGTTCTAATTTTTAACCATTACGTTAAGCATAGCCCTTCCCACAGCGAGTTGAATGCTGGCCGCATGCTTGTCCTGTCTGCGCAATACCAACTCCGTTCGGCGTAAACATCGAATTCGTTAACTATGTAAGGTAAGTAGCAAACTCGTCTTTCCACGATCGCTGTCCAGATCAGGACGTCGTGCTTTTCAGCGTCGATGATGGTCTCTTTAAGACCGATGGATCTGATCCTAGAGCTGCTATAGCCAGCGAAGAATCCTAAGAAACTGGCCTGGAAAGTCTTGACGGCTCAAAACCTCACTGACCGCTTCTATCACTACAGAGTCGAAGGTCTCATCCGAAAGTTGGGGTAGGCGTGTCACCGGAAGTGACGTGACTGCCGCCGCACTTGATAGAAGTTGCGTGGATAAGCTGTTGCCAGCATGCTTTGCTGATATCCAGCGATGTATGTTGGAAGCAGCTTATCCACATAGCTTCTATCAAGTGCGGCAATGGCCACGTCATTTCCGGTGACACGCCTACCCACAATTCTCGGATATCGACTGTACTCTCGTGACTCTTCAATGACCTCGCAACCTTGTGAACATGGGAACATGGTCGATCACAATGGAACCAGGCTTGTTCGCATGGCTGTCCTTTACCAACTTTTTTCTTTTCACCGACGTCTTGAGGATGATTCCTATGCTTGTTGAATAGAGACAGACAGATGGGGTGATAGTTGCGAATGTCGCGCAAGCCTCATTTTTCGTACAACAACACAGTTTTGCTGGTTTTTCCACGGAGTGGGTACCTTCAGTTACAATTTCCTTCAAAGGTAGCGCGTGAAGAGACGAGCCAGCGTTTTGACGATAAGAAGCGGTAAATTCTTCAAACCTCCGATATGATCCTGTTAACACCAGCTGCTGCATAATTTTATATTATAATATTGTATATAGCATATTTTATATCATAACAAAAATAGTTCCACTGATGGAATGGGGCGTTGTACTTCCATAGGGGACTGAAAGAACGACAAGTCCATACTTCTCAATGACACGCGGGCAGATGAACTTAGCTGTTCAAGAGATCGGAGTAGAGTTTGTGGATTACTTTCACCGTTGCAAAACTGCCATCTCCCATCTGCCACTGTGCCATCCAGACGTCCGAGATGAATAGGAGGTTCCTGCCAGCCTCTGCTTCAGCTAATACTGCTGCTCTTCGCTCCTTGAGATCTTCCTTTATCGCCTCTCTGCATAGCTTCGCAAGCTCGGACGTGAGTCGGTGATTGCCTGCAGCTCGTGCGGCTCCACATTGGCGTATCAGCTCGAGAGTTTCCAGGGGAAGACGTCTCATTTCGGGCTGTTTCTACCTGCGCATCCCGTGCAGTAAGGGAAAAGATGCTTCCAAGGCAGTGGTTGTATGGAATGTGGTTACGATAAGCGTAGCTATAGTTTATTTCTGATGACATGACGTATCTTTTTTCCATTCCATGTCATGATTGAGAACTTGAAATGATAGACAGTGTGTTGCCGTGTAATTCGCGATACTCTGCAAAAGGATCAAATCAAGTTTGCGCAAGGAACACGACTATCGCAAAACCCTACGTAGAACTTCGAAACGACAGCGGTGTGGATCACGAGGAATCTTCGATTCAGTGATGTGATCTATCCTTTTTTAATTGTCCACTGGTTGACGCCCACTCCAGAGGAGGTGAGAAGGTTTCTGGGAGTGCGAGTCACCATGAATGGTGTTAATCGACATCCGAATCCCGACAGTCTTTGCCCTGCTCACTCCATTCCATGAAACCTGATGTGACGTTTTCCAGGCAGTCTTCCAGGGCCAGTGTTGGCGTTGGAGTCGGCGACGATGACACCGAAGAAGATATGATCTTATTGGTGAAATTTCCCACTCTCTAGAATTCTTCGAGCTTGCCTCGTCGTGCGTTGTTTTCAGTGCCTCGGAGACGAAGATTTCAAAGCCAGAAAAGAACCATATTTTCTTGACCCTAAACTTCCGATTTGTTTGTCGGGCTTTCGTACCAATCGATACCAAGTGCATGCTAACAAACTTTATCCACACCATCTCTGCTCGCATGTTTCAAAAAAAGTTCTTCTCCCCGAAAACGGCGTGACTCACGTCTAAGTCAGTCCGATGACGTCGCACTTGATCTTCGTACTTCTTCATCATATCTTCGACGGGAGTTCCGGATGTAAGCATGACGTACAGGTCACATCTCATAGTTCTTTGCCATTACGGCAGCTTGTTTGGGCCCTGAAATTTTGCCAGCCTCTCCTTAGCAGTCCTACCCGACGCTGTGGCGTTCGGAGCCCCCTCAGGTTCAGGCGCGGGGGCCATCCATATCACCACGGTCAGAGTATCGAGAAGCTACAAGTCGCTGTCACCAATGTTTGTCATGGGAGATGAATGGATTCAGTTGGTCAGCCATGCTATCCTGGGGTGGATAGAGCGCTTTGCTTGTGAAAACGACCTCGGTCCACTTCCTGTGTATTAGCCGTTGCTAGAATGCAAGTTTCGATTATGCCGAGGTGCAGTATGCTATCGCCAATACACAAAGCACAACACGCACGCATGCGTGGATACGTTCGAGTGGAAACAGTTTGTGTAATTGGACAAAGCACTTAGAAACCATCTATTTCAGTGGATCTATCCTCCTCTGATCGGATCCGTTTCAGAGCAAATACAATGCGGCTTTTCGTCCGCCACTTGGGGTCGTGCTACGTAACCTGCTATCGACCAAGCAAGGTCTTTCAGTGAGAGATTACCTTTAGTGAAAGAGATCTGTGTGTCTACCAAATTGCCAGAAACGAAAGTATATTTGAAAATTTTATTGGCATAAAAGCACCTGCAAAGCAATCATAAAAACCGAGAAAGTCACCTGCTTTAATCTTGTGAAAGTACATATTAACCATAGTTAAGGGTTCCATATATGATCCGAAGTGTTTTTTTTTTGAAAATGAGCATCTCATGCTGTTCTCTCAGCTTAGACACTTTTATAATCAGGATCCAAATCTGCGCGAAACCTTCGAACAACTGAAAGCTGAAAGTGAGACCTTGGCATCGCAAGTGGAAGAAGCTCAGGAAGAGTTAGCACGACTGGATGAGAAAAAGGAACAGCTCGAACTTGAACTGATGAATTCACCTGTGAAGAAAAAAGCTAGTAGGTCGCAAAAGAGTCAAGAAGATGAATGCACGTCAAAAATTCTTTCTTTGTAGTGGAACTGAAGCAGCTGCTGATAGAATTGGAGGCCAAAGAGGCGGCATTGGTTGCTGAGAAGGAAGCAATGGAAACACCTGAACAGAAGAAGCAAAAGCTCATTGATGAAATCAAAAAGAACAACGAAGACATCATGACAATCGAGAAACAGTAAGTCTTGGTTAGGGAGTTTAATCTGAGAGACTTCATAATTAGCATATCGGAATATCACTTTCTGCGTTCATGGTCTGTCTCATGGTCAGTGCTGGGTCATTATCAGACCCCAGCCACTTGATCTTTTTACCCTTCCAACGATTTAATCCTTAAACTCTCTGTAGTAGCTCAGTATTTATTCCCCGAAAGCCCTTGATTTTTGTAACTGAGTGACGCAAAGGTTGATGCAGAAAGGAGTTCGAAAGGGCCTGACGCCAATTTCTGCTTGAATGGTCCTTACTGCTTGCTATATTGCCGTACTGCTTTGTTAAGGATTGAAAAGACGAATGAGCTCATCAACACCGCTCACGAAGAGATTCGTGAATTCGATTCTAGCGCCGATAATAAGCTAGGTGGGTCTAAATATTGTTAGAGCTTTTCTTCGAAGATACTAGAAGTGTGAGCACTCCTTAGTTGGGTGGCTTAGAGTCGAAGTGAGCAGCCTCACATTGCACCTCATAGTGACATCCAAGTCCACTGAAAAAAAAATTTAAAAAAAGACTTATTTCACAATGTTTACAGAAGAGGCTACATGAAGCTGGGAGTTGCTCGTTACATTGAGCTCACCAAGCCTTTCCATGCCACGCGGGATGGGTCGCCACATAAATAAATATCTCCAAGATATTTTCTGTCAAGCGCTCGAAAGAAACAATCAAAATTGGACGGCCTAACCAGCACGACCCTTCACGGGTGAAAAATGCGATAGGGGCCTAGTTGAGCCTTGACAAGTAGAGCTAAAAGGAGGAAATTGTAAACATGGGGGAGTTAGCGAACGCGGCAGCAAGGAGCTGGAGAGGCGTAAAGAGCTGTGGAATTTCGAAACACTGATAAAACTTGTTCCGTTGAACGCTTTCACTGGCGCAAAGATGCTTCAAACAATAATCGCCCTATCACGAGTATTCTCATGGCTTCTTTTGTGAGCATGTCTTTATAACTTAAATGCTTTGTAAAAAAAAGGCCAGAAATTGGAACAAAGGCCGTGATCAAGTGTGAAGCTTTTCTCTCTCCATATTTTGGAGAAAGTTGCTCCTCAACATCATGTTTCCATAGCATGTTTTTCGTTGCATTTTATTTCTGCTCGAAGGAGCTCTCAAACTGCCATCGCTATTTCCTAGGTTGTACTGAAGAAAAGGCGTTTTTGGAGTGTAAAAAAATCCTAGAAAAATCGTCCCAGAAATCCACGGCGAATTGTAATGCAGTCAAATTTCGCGGGCGCGAAATTCGGGCCGAATTCAAACTGTCCTCCAAAGTCTGAATCGAAATTCAATTGTCTTTTGAAGGTTCCATTACATATTCTCAAACACACGTGAAACTTTCCTGATGCTTTAAAAGAGTGAATCTTCAAGAAAGTTCAATTCAAAAGCACAATCTGACGGAGATACATGCTCCTCGGTAACGCGACATTTACTGCAGCAGCGCAAGGAAGGAGCAAAGACAAAGTACTTGTTTCAAAACCGACAAAATTTCAGAGGGTTTGCTAATTATTTTGTTTATGCGACATCGTTCATCACTTTTTTGGCTAATAGTCTTCTCCATGGCTCATAAACCTTTTCTCGAGTTCCCGGCAGTTGGACCGTTGCACGGCGAGGCAAAGGCGCGGACGGGTCACCGGAGGGTTTACGGACTACTTGATTTTTCCTCAATGGTCCTGCCGCGATGGCTAGAGCACAGACGATTAGAGAATGCCCTAGGACTAAGCCTTGGAGAGGAGAGGGACCCGCTAGAGAGCGCAGAGGCGGTAAAGGGCTGAGTTCAATTAGTTTGTCGACCGGAGGTTTCGCAGCTTGTACGGCACAGAACCAGCGCCAGGTCAAATGAAATTCACTATGTGCGCCCAATTCTCTGATTTACCAGCGTGAGCTCAAAAATACCAAATCTGATTAAGAAAGATACTATATCTTCGCACTGCTTTGTTTCTTTCCTTCTCTATTACGTAAGCGATGGAATTTTAGAAGTTGAACTCGTGGTTAACTTAAAGCAACAGTCCAGGCAGGGTTTCAACTACTTGGTCATTAGGCGGTCAAAACATGCCCCAGCCCAACTAAAGTTTATAGGAAATGTCTTTAATTTCAAAACCTACCTCTAAAATGCGCTGGAAGGGGTCGAAGTCCTCTTGGAGGGGGCGGATCACCCATAAAGAGGCGGATCGTCCATACATTTACGCTGTGCAGAGTCCGCGCTTGACTAGCGATCGTTGCGGACCCCGCGCTGTAGAGGCCATTTTTTTTTTTTTTTTTTTTTTTTTTGTATTTTTCCTTTTTTTATATTTATACTTCTTAATTTATCTGTATGCTATACGAAGTTCTTTATTTCGATTTGCTGGCAAGTAGTTATGTATTTGCAAGCATGCAGCTATTTGCCAGCAGTTGCAATTAAAGCGCATGTACTACGGGCAGGTTCGGACAACTCGTCCAACACACGTCTCCCTAAACGGCAGGGCATGTCCCTGTCTAAGCCCCAGTTGGGCGTTTTCTTCACTTTTTCTCTTTACGTTCGACCACTTTTCACCTACAACTTCCATATAGGTGCTTTTGGTTCTCGTATTCGTTCCTGGACTGTTGCTTTAA